TCGGGGAATGGTAGAAACTCGGGAGAGATAAAATCTCCGGTCTTCACCCGAACGAAGTGTCCCTACCAGCCTCGGTCTCGATCCTTGTCAATGCTCGAAAAGAGGGCCTTGTTGTCCCGGCATGTGAGCTTGATTAGTCCCCTCCCCCCTCGAAAAATTCGAGGACTGTATAGACGGAGCAGGTGGTCGAGGGTGAACCGAAGAGACTCAGTATTATTCGCAAAGTAACGGAGGAGGATCACGATCCTCTAAAGAGACGAGTGGATTTTCCCAAGGCACACCTCGTATCTCTTGCAGAAGTCCAAAATAACTGAGTCTATCGGGCCCAGTGTGAAGGGATAAGTGTAAACACTTAAATACCCCTCCACATGAGTGGTGATATCGTCCTCAGGCCCGGGGACTACCAAGTCCTTACCTCCCCAGTTACAGTCCCTTCGGTCAACGGGAAGGGTATCTTCGGTGACAACATATATATCTCGATGCCCATTTGCCTCGGTCTTGTTTGGATGAGGCCTTCTCAACTTTGAAGTCATCTAAAATCGAGCAGCCCCCGGAATAAAACTTTTCATGGGGGGCTCTGGGGCCACTTCGGCGGCAACCACCTTGGGAGCAGCCGCCTCGGGAGCAACCGTCTCGAGAACAACCACTTCAGGGACGGCTGCCTCGGGACCTGTGTCCGAGTGAGAAAATGAAGAGGCAGCCTGTTGAGGAACTTATTTGGAAGTCTTGGCCATCGTAAATCTGGAAAATATGTGAAGACTTTAAGCTTGAGAAGAAAGATATGAGGTTCTGGGTTGAAAATCCAAGAAAATGTATAAAGGTTTGAAGGTAGGATGAAGACCTAGGTAGAAACTTAAGAACAATTATGAAGATTTGAAGGTTGAAGGTAAAAAGATGAAGATTTAAAAGAGTTTGAAGCTGCTAGAGAATTCGAAGATAAGAGCTAAAATCAGAAAGTGGAAACGGTACAAAAGGTTGAAGCTTTTATAGGAGAAAACGTAATCATTGTGCGACGTTTCACATTCGGAGGCGACCAGCTGATGGGTGACACTATCCGAAGTCAGAGCGACGTTACTGATAGGATGTTTCGGCTCCTTCGTCGTCTCGATTGTAACGTACGAAGGAAGGAACCGGGGAACATATATCGTTTCCCATCGTTTCGGCAAACCTACTCTCTGGGAAATGAGGAGATTATCTATATACGGGTAAAACCGAGCTATGACTGCATGGAGTTAGAATTGAAGCTGGGGACTTCTCATATCAGGGGTCGAATGGAGTGCTCGTCACCGGCCCTGGCAAGACAACACTCCCTGAACCCAGAGCGAGCTCTTAAACCTCGGAAAGCACTACGAACGGTTGCACACGACTAACAGAAGGACGTGATATCCGCGCCCGACCGGATATCACGGCGTGAATCTCGCTTGACATCGGCGGCATATCAGTAATTGACGAGAAAGGAGGATTTTTTTACCTTTTTAGAGTTGTACTAGGGATGAGACTCTCATATTATATAAATGGGAAGCTTTTTCATTCAATACACATTGTAACATACATATCAAAGCAATCAAACTTACTTCTCTGCTTTCTAGCCTTTGAAAGGTTCTTATTTTATTTATAGTTCTCCATACACATTTAGAGCCCGTTTGGACATAAGAAATTTTTCCCTTTTTTTCGAAATGAGCGTTTGTTCATAAAATTTTCAATTTTCACTTGAAGATGCATTTTGGAAATTTTCGAAAATTTGAAAAATTCCAAAAAGCTGTTTTTCAAAATTTTCACTTAAATCATTCACAAAACTTCAAAAACAACCCAAAATTATATTCATGTCCAAACACAACTCTAAATTTCAAATACCATTTTCACTTGAATTCTTTTTTCCCTATTTTGAAATTTTACAATTCGTATGTCCAAACGCCCACTTAGCTTCGAATCAAGGGCCCGATTACTGCTAAGCTAAAACCGAGCTCGGACTCAACGTCACAACTGGTTTGATTATTGATTTCATTTTTAATTCATTATCTAACATTCTTGATTTCTTGTATCGAATCAAATCACATATTTTTATAATCGTGTACAAATTTAACTATTATCTGTTTTAAGGGTAAAGACAAACAATATTATTTGACGTGTGCTTGTGGAACTAGTAGATGATACAGCATAGGAGGAGATAGAAACAACGAAATGTCACCATCAGACGATAGAAACCTTTTCCTGAGTTACCTTCGATTGATTTGTCTCAAATAAAATACTATCCGACTTGAAGTGGATCCCGAGCCTTTCGTTTCTTCTGCCACCTGACAAAATCACATTGGCTTAATTTGGTGGTTTAAGACTTTGTAAGCTTCCCCAATTTCAATATTTCTTATTCCATTCTCATCCCAAATAGTGGTGGTCTTCACTCTTATCTCATCAGCATTTCCAAACCATGGGACAGATTCTTGAAAAACTCCAAGGTAATTTGACCCTTTTCTGTTCTACTTCTAATTTAATTGTGCATCTTGAATAGTTGTAGCAACTGATAATATGCTGTAGCATATGCACCCTTATTGGAATTCAATTTCTTTGGTTTTTGTTAATACATATGTCATAATGAATTCCGTCATATCTTTTTGTAGCAGTAGCCAGATGTAACGTGTATCTTGTCCAGGGATACATGTGGTGTGATCCTGTATTTCTTACACGCCTTATACTTATAGATATGTGTAAAAAATCATTTAACTGTAATAAATAGTATCAAATTTTGAACTCAGTGGTGAGAATATAAAGGTTGAACCTATCAGTTTAAATCCTAAATCCTCTTGCAGTCTCGACAGATTGGTCTTGCTGGTCTTGGAAGAGTACTTAATTATTTAGTTATAGCAATTTCTGACCTGGCAAAATGTCATACAACAATTTTTTTCCTGATTTTCATGATAGACATGAGTATTGGGACTTCTCTTTTTCTGCTTGTTTGATTGTGCTGGAGTTTATACTGATAAATTATCTCGGCCGATTAGTATTACTATTTATCACAGCTTTGCATCTTTATTGATTTTGAATGAATAAAAATTAGCAACAAACAATTTGAGTTGATTTCTTAAATCAAACAGACAATTGCAGTTATTGGGATGATTCAACTGTTGAAAGGCAAATTTCAACAAAAGTACTGAAACCTCGTCGCTCTTCTTTTGTGGCTGTCAAAAGTAAAATACTTGGCTGTTGTGTGTCTTTCATGTAGAAGACATCACAGACATTGATTTTCTACAGTTTCTGTGTATACATTGTCTACATAGTACGACAGCTTATTTTACTCTTGTTTACCTCACATTTCATGGAGTCTATGACTTGCTGAGAGTTGATATTATAACAATTATAGCTTGCCTACCTATAATATACTATCACTTTCTAATAACCTGTAGTACCAGGTGATGTAACATTTTGGGGGTATTTATGGCTTTTCAGGTTCCAGTCCACAGGCACTTAACTGTAACAAAGATAAATGTAATTCTTATTCTAATTTCGGTTTTTACTAACTAACTGTTGCAGGCAAGCAATGGAGAGAGAAACAGATGCGAAAGATAACAGACAAGGTGTTTTATCGTTTCAAAAATGAAACAGGAAGAGCTAATCTGAAGTTTGAAGACCTTTATATTGCTGTTCTACTTGTCTACAAGTAAGTTTTTTTTCAGCCTAATCCTTTCAGTACCTTGTGGAGAACATCAATACCCTTTTATTTTTTCATTTATTATTTGAGAAGGTGCTACATCTAATCACTTGTGATCTTGCAGTGATATAAACAAGCTTTTGCCTGGTCCTCACTTTGATCCTCCTCCTAAAGAAGAAGTTAGAGCCTTGATGCAGGTATGCTGCATTTTAACTGATTGGTCACTTGAACCATTTTGTACATGATATAATTTAGGCAGAGTTAATTATCCACACATTGTTAGATAGAAAACTAGAGTTTCATCTTTGCTATAGTAATAACTATCAGTTCTGACGATGCATCTTATGTTCCTTCTCTGAGAATTAGTGTTTTCTTAGCCTTATGAAACTTAATCTTGGGTAATATATCGAGTATCGACATGAATTTAGAAATAAACTTTATTAGTTTACTGGCCCTTTTACTTCATACTTAACAATGGGGTGTTTCTTTTTCAATCTCATCTGACTTCACTTTGACTTTTAGAGTTATCGTAATCTAGGGGGTTGTTTCATTTCTATCATAGTATTATTTGATCTTCTTTTTTTCCTCGTTGTTACAGGAATGTGACATGAATCTTGACGGGGAACTAGATCACGAAGAATTTGTCAAATTTATAAAGAAATTAACAAAGGATACATTCATCACTGTCAGTCAGGGACTGATTATTACATTGGCAGTAGCACCAACAGTTGCTCTTGTAACAAAGAGGACAACTGAAGGAGTCCCTGGTGTTGGGAAAGTGGTGCAGAAGATCCCAAATGCTGTTTACGCTTCCCTTGTGACCCTCACGATTGTCATGTTTCAGAAAGCAGTTGAAGCTAGGGAATAGTGAAATTTGTTTTCTTACAGAAAAAAAGTTTCTACTTAATGTGTATTAAGATAACAGACATCTCATTGTTGATCATAGTTACTATAACTTGCACAAGTCTCTTGTGAATTCAGATTATGTAAATCCTTGCATTAGGCTAATATGTGAATTCATGTTTCGGTTGGGCAGCTCACTAACTTTTACATTGTGTTTGGCGTAATTGGTGATATGAGCAGCTTTTCTCACCGCATGCAGTTTCGGTCAGCTCAGGACTTTGGGTCTAATTCAACCCCAAAAGCTAGCTCACGAGAAGATGCGTCCACAAGAAAAGACATCCCAAGGCCATTTGCTCTACTGGCTGAAACTTTGTTCTTTTGCCACTTTCGAGCATTATTTGAAGAGTTTAAATTTGTGTACTGACATGTATTACGTTTTTCAAACCATCAGGTAATCTTGATAGCAGAGTTGGTATAGTAACAAGAAAAATAGAGTACAACTTGCTATAATCGGTTGAATTAAAAAGAAAAAATTAAGCATATTACTCGCACTGTCATGCACAGAAAGGGAATTGAAAAACAACGTAATTGTTCCCAACCCAAGGAAATGGAGAACAAAACCTTACTCTATCTGAAAGGAGTACTTCGTTAGTATAAATCAATGAGCATCCACACGACACACACCATACATACAGCATGAAGTTGTTAATGGAAAAAAGATGCAGGAATACACAGGCAATGCTAGCAGATTTGCCGTTTACCACTCGAAGGAACCTTTAATATCATCCAAGCTCTGCCCAAGGGAATGCCTGCCAAAAGAGAAAGAATAAGTACAAACTAGAGATTCAGAATGCATCCTAAAACCAAAGGGTAAACAAAGGTGAAAGGAGCTCATTTTATTAGCTTTGAAACAAATTCAATGAGAAGGTAAATGCCAGAATGAGAAAGGTTGCAGAAAGAAAGACTCAAAGTGAATTCCATTACCATGCTGTTTATATGAACAATATCCGGTATCAGGGGCGGATGCACCTTCAACGAAGCGGTATCACGCCGGGAAAATTTTACTAAAAAAAGTATTAATACTATGAGAAAACGGATAAGCAGAAAAAAAATAACACCACTTAACATATGTCTCTTGGCGTGTTGGTTATGTGCTTGACTTTGCTCTAAGAGGTTAGAGGTTCAAACCTCAACTAGCAACATTTTTTTTTAGAAATATTTGAGAGAGCCGTGGAATTGAACTCATGACCTTTTCTAACTTATGGGCTAAGGCTATTTGTTGTCTACAAATGCGATAACTAAAGTTATTTATTTTCGTTCTTTTAAAAATTTCGACACCACTTACAAAAATTTATGCATATGCCGCTGTTCAGACATCATATGTTCTAGATTTTGTTTCAACTGAAAAATAAACAAGAGGGGTAGGCAGTAGAAGAAAAAAGGTTTTAACAGAATTATTTCCAGTGGCTAGTTTCATCTGCTTGGTACCAGTTAAGACACAAGAGCGAGAGCGAGCACTCAGTAAAACCTCATGGTAAAATTACTATTATACAAGCTTTAAATCTGCCCAACAGACAGTATTCTGAGAAGAAATGTGAAAACCTAGTAAGACTGTTGTAACTAGTAATTAAGAGGGAAGTAAAATTTAGTACTACTGAACTGATTGCAACATTTTCAAGTGGAAATCTATCTGAAAGTTTTGCATCAGCTTAACTGAGATATGAGATCAACTCCACATAAAACACTTTAGTTGATCATAGCATCACCATTTTGATGAGGCGTTCATGGGGAAAACAGAAAGCTTCAGTGGATATATCAGCTATTTATTCAGAAAGGCATTGGGTCCTTGATTAACAAGATGTTTTCAAGAGCTTCTAAAAGCTTTTCATGCTGGTTCACTCAATTGCGGTAAGGTAGGTTTGCTGGTGCATGTAGGAACCAAGCTAAAAACATAAACATGATTGATGGGCACAAGTCAGCAATATCTCAATCTGAGAGTGAGTTATAAGGAAAACACACGCACGATCACACACATATAAATAATTTAACAAGCAAGGTTTGATGCTTTTATGAAAATGGTGGAAATTGCAAAACAGTTTAAACAATCTAAACCGCCAACCCCACCCTAAAGTAGATTCTTATAAGAGATTAACACCTACGTATCTAAATTCAGATGGTGAAACCATTATAAATGTAAAGATAATTACCATGGTCTGAAAAATTATCCTCTAATCCATATTTAAGCTTGAATGCAGATTGTTACCAATCTTTGGGATGTCTAAATCCTAATTGATCAGTCAACAAAAATAAAATATTTCAAAAATTACTCAAAGTAATCCACTTTCTGCATAAATTATCCAAAAGAAGCAAAGCATTGATCAGAAAAAAGAATTTTAATCTCACTCAATAAATTTATAGGAGCCTCTGGCGCAATCCCCTAGGTACAAAATATTTCTGTTTTCACGGAAATTTTATCATCTTAAGCCTGAGGATCATTGCTTACTTTGTACTCCTATATATGTTTGTTAACAAGTTGATAGCAACCAATTGTAACTTAATCTACTTAAGTTATTCAGCTCTCTGAAAGGTTATATAGTGATGTACTTTCAAGGTATTGTACCTCTCAAGCACAAAGAAGAGAGAAAAACAAAAGCACCTCGCTAAAGTTTTTCATAAAACTAGCGAAAGCGTTCTTCAAACTCACGTGAGAAGAATGTAAGATGAAAAGAACCTTACCCACTCGTTCTTCAATCCCGCAAGATTGCAAGAAGCGTTTGAATAAAGGAAGAACATTGAAATAAAAAGTAAATCACGTTTTTGAAGCAAGAGCTTAGAAAAACTAATCATCAATGGTTATTTTCAGCATATTGAACCCTTTAAATAGACCTTACAATGAGTAAAATTGATAAGGTTAAGAAAAACTAATCCTAATTAAACTAGAATAAGAATAAGGCTAAGAAAGCATATCCTAATTAAAATAGGAAAAAGATTTCTACTAAGAATGGGCTACCAACTAATAATCCTAGCTTGACTACAACTATAAATATAATCCTACTAAAACAAGAATTAAGAAATCCTAATCTTTAAGGAAAAAAATCCTAATCTTGAATGGATTCTTGGACCTCTTCAATTTCTTGAGATTCTTGGGCCTCAATTGGACTAAGGCTAATTAGTGTATGCATTTTAAAATCGTGGCCCAATTCTTCAAATCCATTGGCACCTTCAAGAGCCCAATAAGCCTCCATTGTTGTAGAAAACATGGCCTCCATATGTTCATCATTCTCTCATGGTTGAAAAGGACTCGTCCTCGAGTCATCGGAATAATAGGGAACAAGATCTGCTACATTGAAGATAGGTGATATTTCTGATAAATGGACCTTGGGCCTAACTCAACCCTGAAAGCTAGCTTGTGAGGTGAGAATTGCCCAAGACCATATAAGAAGACTAAGGACCTCAAATCCCACCGATGTGGGATAACTCAACACCCCCCTCACGCCCAAGCCTGCAAACTAGAGCGTGGACAACATAAATGAGGGCCTAACATCGGTAATAATAATTGGGATGAGCCTGGCTCTGATACCATGATAAATGGACTTTGGGCCTAACTCAACCCCAAAAGCTAGCTTGTGAGGTGAGGATTGCCCAAAACCATATAAGAAGACTAAGGACCTCAAATCTCACCTATGTGGAACAACTCAACAATTTCAAAGTCATTGGGAAGCTCCAAGCGATAAGCATTATCACCGATATTTTGCAGTACCTTAAAAGTTCCATTAGCTCGCTTCTGTAATTTCGAAAACTTGCGGTTGGGAAATCTCTCCTTGCTCAAATGAACCCAAACCAGGTCGCCTTCCTTGAACACCACATGTTTCCTACGTGTATTAGCCTTTTCTTTATATTTAGCATTTTGCTTCTCGATATGTGCCCGAACTTTCTCATGTAGTTTCTTGAGTTTCTTCACTCGATCAACATCTCCACTAAAAGAATGAGCAACTAGAAGAGGGGAAAGATCAAGTGGTCCAAGAGGATTCTTACCATAGACAACTTCGAATGGACTCTTTCCCGTAGTGCGGTTGGTTGACTTGTTGAAAGCAAATTCGAATGGACTCTTTCCCGTAGTGTGGTTGGTTGACTTGTTGAAAGCAAACTCAGCAGTAGGAAGTAACATTCCCACTCTTTGAGATTCTTCTTTATTAACCCACGGAGCAAAGCACCTAAACTTCGACCGACAACTTCGGCTTACCCATCAGTTTGGGGATGATGAGAAGTGCTAGGTGTTAGCTTAGTACCAAGTTTTGCCCATAAAGTCCTCCACATCTATGGCATCTCTTTCTAAAAATAGCTTCTGAAGTCATGGGCTTCCCTTCAACTTTCTGGACACTTGGTTTTGTTGTAGATGATTGTGGCTTTGTAGAGCTCAAACTAGCACTCCCATGGTTGAAAGTGTTCAACTTTTTTATGGTTGTTAATAGTTAATGAAAATGTGGCTTCGGCTTCCTTCTGTTGTCTCTACGACCTTGGCTAGTTTGACAACATCTCCAAAGGTCCAATAGGGCTGCAATCGTATCACACTCGTAATAGGCTAATTTAATCCAACCAAATATCGAGCAATTAGGCAGGTTTGTTTTTCTTTATCACTCTTGAGCCTAAGATATTCAAATTCTCTTGTGTACTCATCCACGGATAAAGTTCCTTGTCTAAAAGAATGAAACTTCAAGTAAGAATCTTCTTCATATGTATCTTGCAAGAACTGTTTGCGCAATTCACATTTCATTCTCTCCCAAGTGCGAATTCGTGTTTTTCCTTCAATCCCTCGCTCTCTTTTGAGGTTTTCCCACCATAGCAATGCATAACCTCTAAGCTTTATAGCAACAAGCTTGACCTTCTTCTCATTAGAATATTCTTTATCATCAAAAACACTCAATAGTTATAAGCCAATCAATGAATTCATCGCCTTGAGATATGCCATCATACTCCGGAATTTCAAGCTTATATCATCACGTCGATACCTCTCTCTTGATTATTATTGTGTGGCCTTCTCTGAAATCTCCTTCTATCATGTTGATACTTAACTTCATCAGAGTCAAACTCCTCACTACCTTGATTATTAGAGTATTCCGAATCTGAGTTTTTATCATAGTAAGCATGGCCTCGGTATTCTCATGCCTTGGTCAGTTATAGCTTCTTCTGCTTGCTCAATATGTCCTATTCTACGCGGTTGAATTGGTGGATCTCGGGGTGGAAGACGTCGCGGTAGCACTGGTATGTTGTGTCTTGGTGGCGATGGAGGTTGTAGGCGTTGTGGCAGATTTGGTGGCTGATTTTGAATCGCCAAACCTTCAACCAATCCAGTCAGATTCTGCATTGATTTCCTTAAGTCATCTAGTTGCGCACTTTAAAGCCATCTAACTGCACTTTAATTTCTTCATTGTCTCGTTCAAGGTCTATAGTTCTTAATCTTTCAATCTAAGTTGTTCATCAAGTGAAGAGGATCCCGAGCTTGTTATTTTCTTGTCTAGCAACATGATGAACAAGATAGCAATTCATAATTCAGACTTGGAACCTGTGTCCTAATACCAAATTGATGTACTTTCAAGGTTTTGCACCCCTCAAGCACAAAGAAGAGAAAAAAACAAAAGCACATCGCTAAAGTTTTTCACAAAACTACCGAAAGCGTTCTTCAAACTCACGTGAGAAAAATGTAAGATGAAAAGAACCTTACCCACTCGTTCTTCAATCTCGCAAGATTGCAAGAAGCGTTGCATAAAGGGAGAAGGGTGAAATAAAACGTAAATCGCGTTTTTGAAGC